AGTTGGTGTCGCCTTCTCGTTGTTCCGAGCAGTGTCCGCAGGCAGCAATGCAACTATAATGATGATACCGACTGTGCGGGGCCGGACGGAGCGCCGCGTGCCGCTGGTATTGGCGACCGAAAACACATGTTCAAGTGTAATATGACAGCGCCAGACTGCGCCGGGACAGCCGCGGGACAGCCACGGGACAGCCGCGGGACAGCCACGGGACAGCCGCGGGACAGCCGCGGGACAGCCGCGGGACAGCCGAAGCAAAGCGGGCCGTCGGGCAATAAAACTGCGGCCCGGGCCAGTAAAGCCGCGGCCCGCCGCGGGACAGCCGCGGGACAGCCGCGGGACAGCCGCGGGACATCCGCGGGACAGCCGCGGGACAGCCGCGGGACAGCCGAGGCGCAGGCGAAGCAAACATGAGGCCAAAATGCTATGGGAGCACTGGGGATGGCCTTCAGTCGAGTTGTCTGGCATTGAAGATGATCCATGGTTCGGATGACGAGGAAGGGAGCGAAGGAGGTAGGAGGGGGGCGAAGGAGGGAAGAGGGAGGAGGGAGGAGCGAGGAGGGAGGGAGGAGGGAGGATGAGGGAGGAACGAGGAGGGAGGGACGAGAAGGGAGGAGGGAGGACCAAGGAGGGATGAAGGGTGGAGGAGCCATGGCAAAGAAACGAATGAGTGAACCCGACGTCGGGGTCACATAAGCCCCCGCCATCAAAGTGCATATTGGGGCTGGTCTTGTGGGGGGTGATTGCCGTGGGAGGGAGTCCAAGGGCGCGGGATGAGCGGGAAGATTTTTTGCTGATGATTTCTATGTGCTTGTATTGCAATAAAACGGACTGTCATTTTCCCGCACAACCAAAATAGCAACAAACGAACGGGGGAAAGGCGCGCGCCACCTGCATCTTACGGGCGATCCCGCTGGACGCCCGTGAGCGCGAAAACCGCGAAGAGACCCGGACCGACAAAAAGCGCGAGAGACCCCTAGACCTTGCAAGATCTTGCAGTGCCCACCCAATCGGCCAGGGCAGACGAAGGCGCCCGTGCGGGGCGCGCGCATCATCACAGCGACAACAAAAAACACGCCATGTCCTGAAGCTCGCAGAACGCATCATGGAGCGATGGCGCACGCACAGATCCGCAGTCGAACCGGGTTGAAGCTCGCACGGGCTGCGCTAGAGCAGACCGGCGCGCCCGACACTCAAACGCGCCGAAGCTCTAGCTACTCGCGCACGCAGAAAAGCTGCTCGCTCAATGAAAAAAGCCACGCTCGCAGGAAAGCTGCTCGCCCACAGGGCACGGCTACATTTCGGCTTTTCTTGGACGGAATTATGCGAAGGGGAGGGTCAGTTTAAGCCGCGGCCTCCTCAGGGGCCTGGCAGCGAGGGCGAAATTGCCTGGCAAGGAGCGCCACCTCGCACGGCCGTCGCGAACCCCTCTCTCACACTTGGTCTCGAAAGCTGCTCGGGCAAAATCCCCCGGATCCGTCGGGCGCCGAACTCGGTGGAGCGTGGCTTCGTTCAAAGAGGCGGCTTGCGCGCGCAAGCTCGCGGTATTTTCTGGGCACTGCGACAGCGGAAGCTCAGGCAGGGCGCCGCCGCGGGGGATCTCGCCGAGAAGCGGGAACCCATTCCTCAGATCAGCTACGAGACGCGTGTCGGGCCAACCTATAGCCTCGAGCATCTCGCAAAGCACAGGCACTTTCTTCTTCGGACCCCGCCCGGGACACGCGAGGGCAGAAGCCCAAATTTGCGCGCCCACAGCGGGTCCAGCACGCGCTTGCGCTCGCGCCAGCGCGCGAGACTGTCGGCCCGAACCTGGGCCAGGGCGGGCCCATCTAGAGCCGGGGGCGGCAGTGGCCACGCGTGCCTGGGCGGCCACGAGGGGGGGCCGCGGCGACGAGGGGCACCAGCAGCACACTGAGCGCCGGAGAGCACGGACAGGAGCCAGGCGGCGACGAGAAGGGGCAGCACCAGCATAACTCTGAGCGCCCGAGAGCACGGGCACGCGCGCCAGCACCCGACGACCCGCGCAGGGGAAGCACCGCCACCGCCCGCAGGCGCGATCATCCTCGCGCACTCGCGCCGGGAGGAGGGAGATGAAAAGGCGGCGCAGCACCCCCGCGCCCGAATCCGCCAGCCGCGCGCGGCCATCGGCTGCAAGCACAGCGCAAACCAACGATCCGCCGCGCCACGGGGGCACTGCCAGGCAGTTAGTCAGCGCGCTGCCACTGAGGCCACAAAGGCCAGGATGCGAGGAGACCACTCGAGTCATCCTGGAGATTTTCCCGGCCCCCAAACCGCTGCGCGATTTAGGGGCGATGGAAAAGCTGCGCGCCAGGCCCGTGAGGGGGTCGGCTGCGCTTCGGCTTGCCGGGGCGCGGGCTACTTTGGAATTCGCGCAGGGGGGGTGGGGGTGGGGGGGGGGCGATTGTAGGCCGAGGCCCCCCCGCGCGGCGCCGTCGCAGAATCAGCCTCGAGGCAGGCGCGGACGCGGGCGGGCGGGCGGGGGCGTCGTCGACGCCGCCCAGGAGCCCCGCAGTCGCGCTGGACGCCGCGCCGGGCGCCGCGCCGGCCCCACTCGGGACGCTGCGCGCCAAAGCGGATGCACCTTGAGGGACTCGCGCCGCCCTGGAACCACCGCGGGCGCAAACGGACTCCATTGCGTCTCTGACTCCGCCCGCGTCGGGGCCTGGCGGAGGGCCTCCCCTGGCGCGGGCGGGCGGGCCCACTCGCCCGCGCGGGGCGACGACGCGGGCGCGCCTCTTCCTCCAAGGCGGCCAGGGAAACGATTCAGTGGGCGCGGCGCGCCTGGAGGGGGCAAGGCCGCGCAAGACATGACGAGACAAGACGCGACATGGGCAAACGGAACCCAGCTAGACGCGCCAGGGCAGTCTCCAGGTCGGGGGCAGATGGCAGCAAGAAGCACCGATGAAGTTTCCAGGAAGCCGACTTACTTCAAACGCATATCCACTCTGCCGAAGAATCGCCGCTAGATGCGCCCGCGGGAACGCCCGAGAACGCCGGCGACGACCCGCTCAACAAACAATTAAGAATTCGTAAAAATACCGACTTGCGCACTGAATGTTCGACCGACTCGTTGATCGGTATTCTTCGAAAGCTGAAGCAAAAGTCATGGCAGAATCACTCTTTCAACGCGGCCCTGAGGAACGGTGGCGGCCTTGGCGCGCACCGCTCGCGCATGCTGCCGCGCCTGTCCTTCGCGTAGACAATATCTAATCGGCCTTGCAGAGCATGGGATGGAGGGAGCGGTGCGTCGTCCTGGCCGTTGCTGCCGTAGTCCTTGCTTGCGCTTGGCGACTACCTCCGGGAAGTGTGCTTGACGTCCTTGCTCTCGATCTTGTGCACTGGGCTCTGTCGCCCTCGACGTCGACGGCGCAGTCGAAATCTACAGGCGGTCAGTACGCAAGGGCCTTGGACGCCGAGATTGGCGCTTTTTGAAGGGCGGACTGCAGACGCCCTAACGGACTGGCCAATGAAAACCGTGAAGGACGGGCCGCAGAGACAAGGACGCAAAGGCACACTAAGGACATCCGTGCGCCCGTACGTTGAGTTCTGACTGTAATGTAGTGCGTCTCGAACCAGTCTCCTTCCAGGGGCTTTCTGGCGCATGCTCGCTCACCTTTCCCGCATGCGGATGCCATAATGCGTCTGGTCGCTGGGCCTGGGGTTGTGGTGGAGCTTGGCCGTGGTATGCACGCGGTCACCTTTATTGCAATAGTCGTATATCACGGCCTGGTCCAGGTACATGGCTGGGTACTCGCACTTCTTGTAGACGAGTTTGGCCTGCCAGTAGACCTTGGACAGCGCGATCGTCATGGGTTATCGGTCGGCACCTGCACCATGACGTAGTCTGCCAGCAGCTCCACGTAGAGTTTGGCGTCCACATGACTGGGGTATCCTTTGTAACTGTCGATCGTGCACAACGTTAGGAGCTCGTCCTGGCACCTCTTCAGGTAGTGCTTGGCGGCGTATTCTACGTCTCCGATTCGGAAATATATCTTCACGGTGTTACTGTAGTCATTGTACTTGGCGATGTGGACTCTGGTCAATACCCGGGTCTATGTGTTGTCCGGTTCCGCGTTGGCATCGTAGATAGATAGATAGATAGATAGATAGAAATATAGATAGATAGATAGATAGATAGATAGATAGATAGATAGATATATAGATATATATATATAGATAGATATATAGATAGATAGATAGATAGATAGATAGATAGATAGCTAGCTAGCTGGCTGGCTAGCTAGCTAGCTAGCTAGCTATATATATATATATATATATATATATATATAAGTATTCCCATACTAGTTGTACCCTTCGTGTTGCCTCCTCCTCCTCCTTTTCCTCTTCCCCTTCCTCTCCTTCCTCCTCAACCTCCTCCTCCTCCTCCACCTCCTCCCCCTCGTCTTCACCTGAAGCCTCTGGGGCGCGCCGCGCTGAGATGCGGCAGTGTCGCCTGTCGTCGTGTTGTATTCCCCTCTCCAGGGACTTGTCCCTCCCAGGCGCGGTACTCGCCACGTCTCGAGTCTTCACTCCTGTCTCTCACGTTGGGCGAACTCAATCGTCGTGGCTGCAGCGCTCTGCTGGTGCCAAAAAGACGACTTAGGCCCAGTGCTGAACAAATTGATGTGAACTCGGCGGCGGGCCCGTGCGGTGCAGGAGAGGCACAGAGTAGAGGAAGGACGGAGTGTTCAGAAGGGGCGCAGCACGACGGTGCCGACCGCCAAAGAGGGGGAGGGGGAAGACGAGTGAACGAACTGAGCCTAATAACCGATGAGCCTAATAACCGAAGTCTCCTCCTCCTCCTCCTCCTCCTCCTCCTCCTCCCCTCCTCTCCCCTCCTTTCTCCCCCTCCTCCCTCCTCTCCTCCTCCTCCTCCTCCTCCTCCTCCTCTCCTCCTCCTCCTCCTCTCTCCTCCTCTTCTCCCTCCTCCTCCTCCTCCTCCTCCTCCTCCTCCTCCTCCTTCGCCGGGGCGCGCGCCTCGCCTCTTGTCCACGGGCGCCGATGCCGTCCCGTCGTCGCGCTCCATCTGCAGCACGCGGGCGCGGGGCACCTCGCCTGGGCCGAGCGCGCGCTTCCGCGCGCCCGCGGGGGGGGCGAGCAGAGGAGCCGCCCCGCCCTGTCGGCCGCCGCCTCTCCGACGGCATGGCCGGTGCGGCGGCATCCGAGCCGCAGACACCGCGCCGGCGCTGCGAGGAAAGGCGCTGGGTACGGAACGGAGGGAGGGAGAGGAGGAGGAGGAGGAGGAGGAGGAGGAGGAGGAGGAGGAGGAGGAGGAGGAGGAGGAGAGGAGAGAGGAGGAGGAGGAGGAGGAAGGGGGAGAGGAGGAGGAGGAGGAGGAGGAGGAGGAGGAGGAGGAGGGAGAGGAGGAGGAGGAGGAGGAGGAGGAGGAGTCTTCATCGGCCACGGCGAGCCTCGGCCACGAACCGGTTCCCCAAGTCTGGATCCGAGGAGCGGCCCGGAGAGAAGGGGGGCCCTCAAGGGCCCGAGGTGGTCCCTGTGCCAGCGTCTGGTCCGCACAGGACGGAAGCACACGCCCGGGGCGACTCTGCGCTGGATGTTGAGCAGGGACCGACCGTCCTGGCATTCCTATAGTCCTACCACGAAAGGTTCTGAGAGCCCAAAAATGCTCTAAGAACAAAAAAAGTTCTTAGAACATAAACCGAGGTGTAAAAACAAACAATCCCAGCCAGAAATGTTCTAAGAACATGTTGTGGAAACCACAACAGGTTCTTAGAACATGGTTTGGTAGGGCTATAAGCACGCTGGGACGCTTCGCCACTGCTTGAAGATTTCTCCTGGAGTGCGTCGACGATTTGTTCGGCATTCCGGCGCAATGCGTTGGCCGTGCGAAGCAGGCACCGCGCAGGTGACCCACGGGCGGGCGGGTCGCCCGAAAACTGGCGGGAAAGACTAATTGTTTCCACTTGCGCCGTGGGGCTCAACATGAAAATGCGCATTCCCACTCAATGCGTTTCCCGTGCGAAACAAGCAACGCGAAGGTGACCCAAGGGCGGGTGGGCTACCCGAAAACTGGCTGCGGATAACAATGGTGTCACTTTATCCTGGGTCCCAACATGAGATGATGAATTCTCACTCACTACGCTTCCCATACGAAGCAGGCATCGCGCAGGTGACCACCCGAACACTAGTTTAGCAAAGCCCACTGTTTCACTCGCATCCCCGGCATTCCAATTTTCTACTCGTAGTTCGACAGCCAATGTGCAGTCATACGGGGTACAAGCACACGGGTGACACATGTCACCCCTGCTTCTACCCCTAATACGTATCTTCCTCCTCTTCCTCCTGTTCCTCCTCCCCGTACTCCTCCTCGTCCCCCCTTTCCTCCCCCCTTTCCTCCCCCTTTTCCTCCCCCTCCTCCTCCACCTCCTCCTCCTCCTCCTCCTCGCCCCCCCCCATCCTGAGCCTGGAACACGCATCATCCGTGCACTCCGTGAGCAGCACGAGGCAAGGTCACCGCGTGCGGGGCCCTGGATGACAACACTGGCAAAGCCCTTGGAATAATGAAGGCGCACCAGTGGCGACCTTCCTCTTCCTCCTCCTCCTCCTCCTCTTCCTCCTCCTCCTCCTCTTCCCGTCTTCCTCCTCCTCCTCTTCCCCCCGTCATCCTCCTTCTCTTTCTCCTTCTTATCCTACTCATCATCATCATCATCATCAGCATCCTCATCGTCATCACCATCATCACCACCATCATCATCACCACCATCATCATCACAATCATCAGCATCATCACCATACGCAGCCGCAGCACCACCACCACCACCACCATCACCATCACCATCATCACCATCACCATGATCATCATCATCATCCTCATCAGCACCGTCTTCACCATCATCATCAGCATCATCATTGCCACCACCACAATCATCTTCATCATATACATCATAATCATCACCATCATCATCATCAACAGCAGCATAATCGTCATGACAATCAGCAGCCGCGGCATCGTCACCATCATCACCATCACCATTATTATTATCACCATTATCATCATCATCAACATTATCACCCCCGTCATCACCATCACCACCACCATCATTATCACCAGCATCATCGACATAATCACCATCATCGACAGCAACATCGCCTACGTCATTAAGTCACGCACCACCAGAATCAACAACAACATCAACATCAGCATCGTCATCCGCCGTATCAGCACCATCAGCATGATCCGCATCCCCACCACCATCACCATCAGTATCAATAGCGCCGTCATCAGCATCATCAACAGCAGCAGTCGCATCAGCACCGTCATCATGACCACAATCAGCATCAAAACCAGCATCCGCTCTATGAGTATCACCATCATCACCATCACCGTCCCCATCACCACCATCGTCATCATCACAATCATCATCAACAACATCATCACCATCATCATGATCGGCAACATCATCATCAGCAGCATCACCAGCATCATCATCAACAGCATCATCAACAGCCTCATCACCACTATCATCATCACTACCATCAGAATCATCATCACCATCATCATCAGCATCATCATCGTCGTCGTCATCGTCATCGTCATCATGATCGCCGTCGTCGTCAGCATCATCACCATCCGATTCCTGGAAGATCCGCCACCATGCCGTGGGCATGTAGTGGAGTGCCCCAAAGCTCATGTAGTGCGAAGTAGAGGGTATGTACTTTTTTAAGGTTATCAAGAGCCTGGACCCCCATTTGCCCAGGCGGTCCCGAGCGGTCCTGGGCGTTCGCGCGCCCTGCCAAGGTGTGTCGCCTGAGCTTTTGCGACGCCAACGGGCCCCCAAGACAATGGGGCCCCACGACGGGCCAAGAGGATCCTAGGAGCCCCCCCGAAGCTGTCGACGAGGGTCCCGACCGAGTCGGCGAAAGATCGGTCCAAGACGCCACAGATGGCCGCCAGACAGCCGAAGATGCCTCCAAGATGCCTCAAGATACCTCTAAGAGGAACCCCAAGAGGCAACCATCATTGATTTCCTGGGGTTTTGCTGGATTTGGGCGATCTCGCCTGTTCTGCCCCCCGACGCTCCAGCTCGGCCTGAGAGGCTCCCAAGATCGCTCCAAGACGGCCCAAGAGGCCTCCGAGAGGGTCCCGAAACTGCCCATGATGGCCCCAGAACGACCCAAGAGGCGCCCAAGACAAACAGCCCCATTAGCCTCCAACACGGCTCCAAGGCGGGGCCCCGACGGGGGACCCGAATGCACAGTCTGTGCTTTCGGCCCTGGGAAGCCCCCAGAAGGCTCCAATAAGACCCCCGAGAAGCCGCCAGGAGCCCCCAAAGGGCCCCCAGTAAACTCTAAGAGGCCCCCAAGAGGCCCCCAAGAGGTCCCCTAGAGGCCCCCCACGGAGCCCCAAAACTACTCCCAAGAGGCCTCCGAGAGGGCCCCCAAGAGACCCCGCGAAGCATTCCTGAGAACTCCGATCCGCGACCCAGGCGCGGCGGCGGGATAGGCCGAAGGCCATCCTCCTCCTCCCCCTCCCCATCCTCCTCCTCCTCCTCCTCCTCCTCCTCCTCCTCCTCCTCCTCCTCCTCCTCCTCCTCCTCCTCCTGCGCACGAAGTAAGCGCTCATGGGATCCGATCCCCACGAACGCCCGACTAGGATGGGGCATTGCCCACCCCGCGACCGCCTGGAACTAGCGGCCGCAGCGCCGACGGGGCCCGAGGAGGAGGAAAGAACGAGGAGGAGGACGAGGAGAGGGAAGAGAGGAGGCGCTGGCCTCACACGTGCTGCCCGCCAACTCGCAGAGCAGCACTGACCACCGAAGGCGGCCAGCCCCCATGCCTCCCTGGCTCTTCCTGCACCAGGGGACACAGGCTACCCCACGTCACCGTGCGGGGCACACGGCGCGTGTTTCCGCACATGGGTAGCCAGGCCCGCCCCCACAGGCCCCCTTGCCCAAGGGGGGCCAGGCGGTACACGTCTTGAGCCGTACTCCCGAAGGAGCCGACCCCCCTGGTCACACCCGACACCCCGACGTCAGGGGCGGGCCCCCGCGCAGGCTGGTACCACGCGGGCCGACGCGGACTGGAGAACCAGCCCGCGCCAGCCCTGGGGGGTTACCCGCGCGGCCCTAGAACGTCGGGTCCCCGGGGGACCTGAGACGGCAGACCGACTCCAAACGGGGACCGCCCGGCGGAGTCGGGGGGCCGCCCCAGGCCCGCCAGGGCACCAACGCCCCAGGGCCACGGCGCCGCAAGCGACGACATGGCGGATTGCAGTTTCCCCAGGGGCCCCGATGCGCCGCCCCGCACCGAGGTCCTCCTCCTCCTCTCCTCCTCCTCCTCCTCCTCCTCCTCCTCCTCCTCCTCCTCCTCCTCCTCCCCCCTCCTCCTCCTCCTCCCTCCTCCCCTGTTCCTCCACCTCCTCCTCCTCCTCCTCCTCCTCCCTCCTCCTCCTCCTCCTCCTCCTCCCCCTCCTCCGCCTCCTCCGCCTCCTCCTCCTCCTCCTCCTCCTCCTCCTCCTCCTCCTCCGCCTCCTCTTCCTCCTCGATACGCGTTAGCCCAGAAGCGCCAGCGAAGAACTGCCACAAATTCCACCCCGACTTCGGCCGCGCTCGCAAGACACACAGCTGGACGGACAGGGTGATGTTACCGTTTTTGCGTCAAGGCCTGGATGTGTGGCCGACTGCGGTCTAAGTGTGGTGTAGCCCCCGTACCCGTGCGCAAAGTCTCGCAGAAAAAGAGAGAGAGAGAGAGAGAAAAAAAAAAAAAAAAAAAAAAAAAAAAAAAAAAAAAAAAAAAAACGCGAGCGTGATCGAGCGAGGCTTTGCAGTGCGAGTGGGAGCGTGCACCCCGCCCGCACCCCACCCGTCCTTACCCGCTTTCAACGGAGAAGCGACCTCATGGCACGGTGAGTGTACCGTCGCCCACACCCAAGGGGCGGAGAAGGTGCCGGAAGCGGAAGGATAAAGGAGCAGGGAAGAACTCCTTCGTCCCTCCTCCCTCCTCTCTCATCCCTCCTGCGCCTCCTCCTCTCTGCTCCTTTTCCCCTCTTTCCTCCTCCCTCCTCCTTTTGTTCGAAATTCCCTGGATGGGAAAGAGTGGCGACGACGACGGCGACGACGAATGACGACGACGACCGAAAACGACGACGACGACGACAGCGGTGGCATGCGGCGACGACGGACGACGACGACGACGACGACGACGACGACGACGACGACGACGACAGTGGCGACATGCAACATGCGGCGATGACGACGACGACGCGCGCATGCGGCACTTGAGCATTGCTTTAGATACTGCAGCGGTCGCACGCACGGTTCCCCACGCATCGCCAGCTGGGCGGGAAACCAGGCGAACAAATAATCACGGCCCGTCGCCGTGCATTCCGCTAAACTAAGAGGCCGCCGAATTCCCTGGCGGGTTCCTCCGTTGGGGGTATAGAACCCGGGAGGAAGCCTCTCCTAGGCCCTACCCAAGGCCCTAGGGTAGCCTACCCTAGGCCCTACCCAAGGCCTTAGGGTAGGCCCTACCCAAGGCCCTAGGGTAGCCTATGGGTAGGCCCTACCCAAGGCCCTAGGAGGGTAGGCCTACCCAAGAGCTTGGAGTAGAGCTAGGGAAGGCCTAGGCATGGGCTTAGGGTAAACATTGAGGGAAGGGCTAGAGGTAGGCCTACCCTAGCACTAGGGGGAAGGCCTAGGGCTAGGCCTAGGGTAGGCCTAGGGGGAAGGCCTAAGGGTAAGGGTATGCCTAGGGGTAGGCCTAGGGGGTAGGCCTTGGGGGTAAGCCTAGGGTAGGCCTAGGGGGTGGGCCTAGGGGTATGCCTAGGGGGAAGTCCTAGGGGGTAGGCCTAGGGTAGGCCTGGGGGGTAGGCTTAGGGGTAGGCCTAGGGTAGGCCTAGGGGGAAGGCCTAGGGTAGGCCTAGGGAAAAGGCCTAGGGGTAGGCCTAGGGGGTAGGGGGTAGGCCCCGGGGTAGGCCTAGGGTAAGCCTAGGAAGAAGGCCTCGGGTAGGCCTAGGGTGAGCCTAGGGGGAAGGCCTAGGGGTAAGCCTAGGGTATGCCTGGGGAGTTGGCCTAGGAGTGACCCTATGCTAAAGTGAGCCTAGGGGGAACGCCTAGGGGGTAGGCCTACGGTAGGCCTAGGGGGAAGGCCTGGGGGTACGCCTAGGGCAAGCATAGAGGATGAGCCTAGGAGTAAGCCCAAGGTAAGCCTAAGGGGTAGGGCTACGGGTAAGCCTAGGAAAGCAAGTCCTAGGGGATAGGGCTAAGGGAAGCCTAGAGGAAGGCCTGGGGTAGGCTTAGAGGGTAGGCGCAAGGGTAAGGCACCCTAACGTGCGGGTCGGGCCGGGCGGGCGGGACATCAAAGCATCATGCATCATCGAATGGACACGCGAGAGCCCCAATGGGTCGGGTCGAGACGGGTCGGGTCGGGTGGACCCTAACGGGGCGGGTCGGGTCGGGCCGGTCGAGCCCTACCGGGCGGGTTGGGTCTGGCGGGCGGGGCATTCAAGTATCATGCGACATCGAGTGGACACGCGAAAACCCTAAAGGGTTGGGTCGCGTTGGGTCGGGCGGACGCTAACGGGCAGGTCGGGTCGGGCGGGCGGGACATTAAAGTACGACGCATCATCGAATGGACACGCGAGAACATAGCGGTTCGGGTCAGGACGGGTCGGACCGGGCGAAGCGAGACCGTTCGCCCGGAAGCCCGTTCGCCCAGAAGCCCGTTCGCCCGAAAACCGTCCGCCTGGAGGCCCGTTCGCCCAGAGGCCCGTTCGGCCAAAGGCCCGTTCGCCCGCAGGCCCGTTCGCCCGGAATCTCGTTGGCCCGGAGCCTGTTCATCCGGAGGCCCGTTCGCCCGGAGCCCGTTCGCCCAGAAGCCCGTTCGCCCGGAGCCCGTTCGCCCGGAGTCTCCTCCGCCGCTGCCGCCGGCGACGCCGGCGCGGAGACTACGGACCCAGCTCATCCCCCTGCTCCTCCGGCTCGTTCCCCCCTCCTCCTCCCCCTCTCCACATCCTCCTGTTCCTCCTCCTCCTCCTCTCTCCTCCTCCTCCTCCCTCCTCCCTAGCCTCCTCCTCCTCCTCCCTCCTCCTCCTCCTCCTCCCTCCTCCTCCTACCTCCTCCTCCTCCGTTTCCTCCTCCTCCTCCTCCTCCTCCTCCTCCTCCTCCTCCTCCTCCTCCCTCGCCCTCTTCCTCGGGCGGGCGGACCCTAACGGGCGGGTCGGGTCAGGCGGGCGGGACATTAAAACGAGGTGCGTGATCGAGTTCACGCGCGAGTATCCTAACGGGCGGGTCGGGTCGGGTCGAGTCGGGTCGGGCGGGCGGACCCAAACGGCCGGGTCGGTTCGGGGGGCGGACCCAAACGGGCGGGTTGGGTCGGGCGGGCGGGACATTTAAAGTGTGGTGCGTGATCGAGTTTACGGTAGGCCCGGGGGTAGGCCTAGGGGGTAGGCCTGGGGGTAGGCCTAGGGTAGGCCTAGGGAAAAGGCCTAAGGGTAGGCCTAGGGGGTGGGCCTAGGGGGTAAACCTAGGGGTAGGCCTGGGGTGGGCAAGGCCTAGGGGTAGGCCTAGGGTAGGCCTGGGGGGTAGGACTAGGGGTAGGCCTAGGGGTAGGCCCACGGTAGACCTACGGGTAAGGCCCAGAAGTAGGCCTAGGGTAGGCCTAGGGGGTAGGCCTAGGGGTAGGCCAATGGGGTAGGCCTACGGGTTGGCCCAGGTAGGCCTATCCTCCGGGTTCTATAAGCCGTTGGGTGTGTGAGTGTGTGTGCATGTGCGTGTGTATCGAAAGCATCATCAATGCATATCCAAGCAGGGCGCGGCGCCCTACCGGTGGAGGGCCTGATTCAAAACGGATTTCCCCGAAAAGTAGTTACTGTACTATGAATTGTGATACCAGCAGCAGCAGTGGAGGTGGGAGACAGAGATGAGGATAACAATAATTGTCTACGCAAGTTGAGGTGTTGCTGCGGCGGCTGGGCCACTTCGGTAAGGTTGTGGCGGAGATAACGATGGCATGGGCAGCTTCAGCAGCACATGACGACACAGACTGGGTCATCATCATCCCCCTCTTCCAAGTTGTCCTCTTCGTATGCTTCCTTCGCCCGATCAAAGTTGCTGCAAGCCATGCCCCCTGCCATGAAAAACCAGAATGCAAACCAAGGTGAGCATGATTGGAGAACGATGCGTTACAAGCCCCAGGTTCGCCGACCGATGTTGTGTAGGTTAGGTACTCCTCGTCGGAAAGTGTATCCTTCGTTGGCGGAAGCAGCAAGCATCTACGCTGGCATCTTCACTCCCCGTCCTGACCGTTACTCTCCTCCACTGGCGCATGGTACGTGGCCCCCCTGTCTGTTGATCCCCCCCTCATCCTCACCTCCCCTTCTCCCACCCACATCCACCAAGTTCCGTTGTCCCCTCCTTCCCCTGCGCTGCCCAGCTCTGCTCCTATCCATGCCATCCCCCGCCCACTGGCAATATAGTGGCAGAGCGTAGGGCGCATCGCTGTCAAACGGCGTACCGTAAGACGGCTGTGCTGCCACTCCCAGGGACAGCCTCTGACTCCTGAGACCTAGAGAAGCGAAATGACGCTCTACTTGAAGACCAAGTCGCTCTGGGCTGGGGGAACGGAAACGGCGGAGCGTTCCTCCTCCCCATCCCGACACCACACTCTTCCCTACTCAACTCTGCTTCCTCCCCCCCTCCTCATCCTCCGCATTCCCCACCACGATTTCCATCAGATTCCTCATTTGCCGCATCCTCTCCCCTCCCCCCCCTTTCGCCTCGTCCACCTCTTCCTCCGTTTCCCCCTTCTTCCCCCCCCCCCTCTGGAGGAGGGGTAGGAGGCGACGAAGGGTACAATCACCGTGTTAGCACAAGGAACGGTGAGTAAGGAACGGATGGATGTTCCTGGCCACGGCGAGCCTCGGCCACGAGCAGGTCCCCTGGCCCAAGTCTAAAGAACGACTCGAAAACCAGAGCCCCTCCTGAGCCCAAAGTGGTCCTTATTCCAGCGCCTTGACTGCAATTCGCGCTTCCCCCAATCCGTCGACCTACGCCCCCCCCCCCCCTCCGCCCACTGCCCCACCACTCCCCCACCACCCCGCATTTTCCCACCTCCGCCGATCTGCGCCCCCCCACCCCCCCCGCACACTTCCCCCCCTCACATCCCGTGTTCCCCCCACTTCCCCCGCCGACCTGTGCTCCCCCTGCGTCCTCCCGACGCACACACACAAACACACACACACACACACAGACACACACGCACACACACACACCCACCCACACACCCGCACACCCACACACACCCACACACCCACACACCCACACACCCACACACCCACACACCGACACCCACACCCACACACCCACACACCCACACACCCACACACCCGCACACCCACACACCCACACACACCCACACACCCACACACCCACACACCCACACACCCACACACCCACACCCACACCACACCCACACACACACACACCACACACACACACACACGCACACACACACACACACACACACACACACACACACACACACACACACACGCACACACACACACACACACACACACACACGCACACACACGCACACACACACACACGCACACACACACACACAAAACACAATGGTCCGACACACGGCATCAGATAGCTCCGCCGCATGGAACATGCCCAAGGGTGGCCAGAGAGTTTGTGCACCTGTGGTCTTGCCATAGGGTGCAGACTTCGCAACCACAAGTGCCCAAAACGCTACTCTTCCCTCATCCTCCACTTCCACCACCACTTCTTCCTCAACATCATCGTTATCCGCCTTCCCGTTTCCTCATCCTCCTCCTCCTCCTCCTCCGCCTCCTCCGCCGCCTCCTCCTCCTCCTCTCTGAAGTGGCCATGGAAGGACGTTTTTGCCAAAATAACATGTTGTGTATGCCACAGAATCATCAAACCGACTGGTCAGTTTGAGCCATCACTCGTTCGCTCTGCGCGGACATGAAGCCAAGGCCTGTTGTGGCATGATCGCCCGCCTCCTCCAGAACTTGTCCTCATCCTCCTATTGTTTTCCTCATCAATATGTCCTCTGTTCCCTCAACCCTCTTTCTCTACCTTCTCCTGCTCCAGTCCCGCATCCTCCTCGTCCCAACGCATCCTATCCTCCTCTTCCCCCTCCCGCCTTCCCGCTCCCTTCTCCGCACTCATCTTCCTCCGCCTGCCCAGTTTCATCATCATCCTCCCTCCCTCGTTTTCCTCCTCGTCCTTCTTCTTCTTCTTCTACTACTACTACTATTATTACTACTACTACTACTACTACTACTACTACTACTACTACTACTACTACTACTACTACTACTACTACGACTACTACGACTACGACTACTACTACTACTACTAATAATAATAATAATAATACTACGACTACTACTACGACTACTACGACTACGACTACGACTACGACTACTACTACTACTACTACTACTACTACTACTACTACTACTACTACTAATAATAATAATACTATTACTACTACTACCAGTACTACTACGACTACTAATACGACTATTACTACTACTACTACT